TCTGGGCAGTCGACGATCTGGTTCTTTTTAGTTAAGAACCTGGTCCATAATTTCCTGGCTGACTCTCCGGGCTGTTGAACTATGTGACTTAAGTCATCGGCATCCGGAGGTCTGTCGTATGTGCCTTGGAAGTTATCGCGGAAGGCGTCTTCTAGGTCTTCCCAGCTGCCAATAGAGTTTTCAAGCAGGCTGTTCAACCAGTGCCTAGCTGGTCCTTTGAGTTTTACTGGGAGGTATTTGATGGCATGAAGATCATCACCGTGGGCCATCTGAATATGGAGAAGAAAATCTTCGATCCATACCGCGGGGTCTGTTGTCCCATCATATGATTCAATGTTTACGGGTTTAAACCCTTTTGGGAATTCGGGCTCCATTACTTCATCAGTGAAGCAGAGGGGGTGTGTGGCGCCTCTATATCGGGCCGCGTTGCGACGTAGTTCGGATGGAGTTCGCCTATGGTTTTCGGCCCGGGCGTGATTATGCTTTTCACGCCTGGCTTGATGGCCGTCGTCGCATGTCGGGGCATGCCCCCGTGATCCGTAGATCGATTTGGTTTGTCCTGCTCTACTGTCCAGGTCCTGCCGCAGGTCATATGTATGTCCCCAAGGTGTTTTATCTCTGCCTTTACGGCGAGGTAGGACGGGCTGGTGTTCAGCTTGAGTTGCCTCTTTGTCCCGGCCACGTGGTGGTCGATCAGCCGCGTTACGCGCTGATGGTACGGGCTCAAGTGCCTCGTCATCGAATTGAGGTAGCAATTTACGCTTCGGGTAACTTTTGGTTGGGCGCATGAGGCCGTATTCCTCGGTTGCCAGGACATTAGTCCATCTGTCGTTGAGTAGATCTTGATCAGCTTGAAGCTACTGTTGTTTCTTTTTCAGTCTCCATGAAGTGGCTATTAGCCGTTGCTTAAAGCGCTCCTGCTCGAGAGGTTCCTCGGGCACGATAAAGTCTTTGTCGCCGAGGCTCACCTCATCCTCGAAGGGAGGAAGGTAATTACTGTCCTTCGAGTCTTTGTTTGCAGCCTGTTCATCAGGGCTAACTTGCCCATCCTCCCAATCATCTTGTTCAGAGTTTTGCTCGATGGGGTTTTCTTGGTCTTCGGCATCATCCGGAGTATTGTTGTCTCTCGTGCCGGTATTGATGTCTTTGCTGCGGCGTGATTTAGAGTGGCGTCGTCGGCGCTTTGGTTGTATCTCGGGAGATTTATACTCTACTGGATTTTTCTCATTATCGTTGTCACCCTCCTTGGGTGTATCCACCATGTACACGTCATACGAAGAGGTGGCCGTCCAGCGTACAGTAAACGGTGGGTTTTCGGCTTGCTCTTCTCCGGCATCGTCGTCCATACCATCGATGTCTTCGGAGCCGTAATCGACCATGTCAGCTAAGTCCTCGACTGTGCAAATGAAGTGGGTGGTGGGTGGGACGTAAAATTCCCCGCTCTCAGCCCTAGTCCCGATTGGGCGTAGTTCGGACATTGCTCCTCTGTAATCATGAGGGATCGCATCAAGGCCAGAGCCTTGCTTAAAGGCGAGGTTTGTCGAGGGAGAAAAGAATCCGTGGAGTATGGCGGGAAGGGAATTCCTCGGCCGATCTCACATGATGCTGACTCCGAGAGTTCGAAGCCAGTATCCAGGGAAGAGTCTGGCTTTGTGATGGTTGCCGGCGACACTGCTTCCTCTGGCTCTCCAGTACTGGGCCTAGTGGCCACAGGTAGTCCAGCGGGTTTAGAAATCCTGTCTTCGGTCCTGGCGAGGCACTCCGGCACTAAGGCCAGAGCAGAGGTTGGGGTCGTGAATCCTTGGAAGATCAAGTCTCCTCAGATATCGGCGACATAATCCAAGTTTCCAAAACTAATCTGGTGACCTGGGCGTAGCTGTCGATCTGCTCTAGATGGCCAAGCGAGTTGGCCCGCGGTGCAAAGCCGCCGAATACGAAGATCTAGCCTGAGAGAAAACCCTTCCCTAGGGCAGCATCGTTGCAGATGATGGATGGAGCCATCGAACCTTCTGACAGTGACACAGTGGAACTCTCAATGAAAGCACCAATGTCGGTGTCAAAACCGGCGGATCTCGGGTAAGGGGTCTCGAACTATGCGTCTAAGGTTGATAGTAATAGGAGGCAGGGGACACAATGTTTTACCCAGGTTCGGGCCCTCTTGATGGAGGTAATACCCTACGTCCTGCTTGATTGATATTGATGAGTATGAGGATTACAAGAGTTGATCTACCACGAGATCGTAATGGCTAATACCCTAGAAGTCTAGCATGTATGATTGTGATTGCCTCTACGGACTAAACCTTCCGGTTTATATAGACACCAGAGGGGACTAGGGTTGTACGAAGTCGGTTACAGAGAAAGGAATCTTCATATCCGAACGCCAGGCTTGCCATCCACGCCAAGGAGAGTCCCATCCGGACACGAGAGAGAGTCTTTTGTCTTGTATCTTCATAGCCCATTAGTCCGGCCCATGTCACATAGGTCGGACGCTCGAGGACCCCTTAATCCAGGACTCCCTCACCAGGACCATTTTTCTGTTGCTTCGTTATCTTTTGATAGTGAATCCGGTCCAATTTGGATCGTATGGAAAAAATGATAATTGACGCCTAAAGGTTGCAGTAAAAATTTGAGAAGGTTTCCACAAAAGTTGTGGCGTACACTCCTAGAAACTGGACCATTTCCAAGAAATAATCATGGTTTCGGGAGGGAACAAGTCGGGTTTGAAGGCGATGTGACCTTGAATAAGCCAAAGATAGAGAGAGAAAACTTAAAGAACTATTTGAGAAAAGAAATATATTTCCAGGTTATTAATTCCATCCTAATTTTCAATATTGTGGATTTAATAAAAAGAACTCAAGGCTGCAACATTCACTTTAAGACTAGTTAAAAAGAAAAGGTTCCACCCTTGTAGTTAGACAACCGATATGCCATTTTATCACGCTAGCCACATCAGCTACGATTACGCTAGAATCTGTTGGTGCTATTCATGTTGATTGACCGAGCGTGACAAGCAGTTGCACGCATGGACAAGATGCTGATGTGGTGAAGTTAAGAGATGAGAGTTGTATGTTAGCGAAGATACAACTCTTAGCTTGTTTTCCTATGCGGTGTAATTAATACAATGATCCCGTGTGGCTTATTTTCTTATATTTCTCTCAATCCCTTCTCTCCATAAATAAGCCACAATATTAAGATGCAAACATGGTCCATAAGCCAATTAAATGCATAACACTTAGATGCAACAACTAAAAGAGGATGCATTAGAGTGGTAGTCTCTAAACAAATTCCATCATCTAGGATGACGTATTAAGAGCCAATGCATTGTGAGTGCCCTTAATTAATTAACGATGCAGCAATGCATGCGCTATTTATAACATCCTCTCTCACCCCTTTTTTGGCACATGTAGTCATCAGTGCAAGTATAATGGATTTTTTTTATACATAACTGATGTGCAGTAAATTTTGCCTATCGTTTTGGTCGGGTGGAGGGAGCAAATAACAATACAGACAAATACATTGTCTAAAAATGATGTTTAACACACTGTTATAATTAAATGGGTTGTTCCACACTTTCCAAAAATAATGGGTCCTTTTTGCAAAAACATCATTGGCGTCACAGGCACAAATATTTTTTAACACAACAAGAGGATCATAGGAAATAAATCTTGATGCAAAACAAATAGATAAAATAAGATTGTGTTTATAAAGCATAGATTGTCATTGCTTAAACAAGCAAAATAGGTATGTGCCAGTGCTTGATCAACTTTATTGAGTTATCAAAGATAAGATATCAATTGCTATTTAGTACTCACTCCATTTCTAAATATAGGGTGTATAGTTTTTGGCACAAAAATTAAAGAACACACGTGAAATGAAAATTTTCAAGTATTAAACGAGATTACACCTGACTAATTGACATAAAAAAATAGAGAAGCTAGCCTAATAAGTAAATGTAATCAAACCCTTAAAAAAATATCCAAACGGATGATACAACACGATACACTTACGGATGGAGTATTTGTTTACGGACCATTGTTATATTTATTAGGTTATGTAGAACGAGTGACGAGGAGAAAAATGAAGACAGAACCTCACATCCAAACAACAGAAGTTCTTGATGTGGTAGTTTCTTGGTGTGGACACTAAGGATTTTACCTATGAAGTCGGCGGTTATGAATTCTTTGTCCAAACTTTTGACTTGTGAAATCTCATGAAATCACGGCTGACGAGAGATTTCATGGCATAAATCACTATGAGGCCTTTTACTATGTAGGCTAAAAGAGGTGCTAAATTGACTTCTAGCTCCGATAGCCGGTGCCCTCACGTTGTGAGGCCGGTGCCCCAATAAAATTTTCATGGCATCGGAGCAAGTAGAAGCACCGATGCCCAATTCCTTCAGCCAATAAAATATTATTAACTCTCAACTTTGAACAGCAAATGTCGTCTCTCTCTTTGCTCAATACACAGCAGCGTGGTGTACTTTTTATCATATGGGTTCCAGAATCTTTTTCCTGCCGAAGCCCTCTTTGCTCAATACACAGCAGCGTGGTGTACTTTTTATCACATGGGTTCCAGAATCTTTTTCCTGCCGAAGCCCTACGCTGTGAGATCGATGGCTGAAAAGACCGGTGATGAGGTGGCTGCCTTTTGATGTATTTGGCACCGGCTACGTTGTGGAAGGCCTGAGTGTATCACTACGAAGGCCATACATGCCTTGCTTTGCTCAGAAACAGTTAGCGGCTACCAACAGCAATAACACGCTTCACTTAAGTAGATGCTCCATATGGGGACACAAATGCATAAACCTAATAGAACAACAGACTGCAAGACCAGGTACCCAAAAACTATTAGCATGGCACAAAAATTAACAAGTTCACCAGGTCAAATAGCCATTAAGTAACAAGCAAACTCTTCCAAAAAAGACAACTGTTTCGACACTGAATTTGAGTCCTAGATAGGTTCTTTTGTCACCGCCATCACGATCCAAAGCACTGATCCGCTTACTTGAAGCACTTGGCGTCCAGCAAGGCCTGCCCCTCAAACGGCTCAAGGTCCTCGATCATGGCTTCGACACGCTTCTTCTGGGCCTCGTCAGAGAGGTCAACCTTGGTCCACTCGTAGAGCTCCATGTCGTAGACCTCGTTCATGACAAACTCAGGGATGTCCTGCCCACGGAAGAGCCACAGCCCCTTGACCTTGAAGGGCGCCTCAGAACCAATCACGAGCATCTTGCCGAAAGCATACTTGCGGCACAGATCCATCCGCTGCAGGAACCCGCCGACCTTGTTCAGGGTCACATACGACACGGTGTTCTCTTCCTGGTACTTGTAGTCACAGAACCACAGAGAGTAGCCCTCTGGGTCATACATCTCCCAGAAACCTGAAGCATAGACATCATACATGAGTTTTGGTTCATGTTAAGATCACAGTTACAAATGAACAAGGACAGAATGCCACAACTACCAAACACATAATTGAGATAAACTGCTGCCCTGATGCACAAAGTAGCATCGCAAATGAACAAGAATGAGAATCATGCATATCCCCTACAAAGATCTGAAGAGTCATTCTACTATCAATTTATAACAAGAACAGAATGCCACAACTATAAACACATAACTGAGACAAAAAATTATGTCCTAATGCACAAAGCAGAGCAGTGATCAAGGCAAGGCAAGCTGCATGACTCAGAAGTAGTTAAATATCAAGTAGACACACGAAAGAATGGACAATAAGATCCATTTTAACATTTAGACCAGTTAGTGTTGACAGGCAGAATTTTTAGACTAGGGTATCAGTGGATGCTCACACTACTAGGTTGTACAGTCACAATTAACACACAGTGACCAGACTTCTAAACAATTAATGATCATCACATATAGAACTTGCAAGGGATCACTAGCATATATATTAAGTAGAATACAAGAATTCATTAGACAGAATAATACCTTTAATAGCAACATCATGGAAGTTGCTCTTAGTGTTTGAGTATAGCCTCTTCCAGTCATCAAGTACCATCTTGCTTGGTGGCAGTAGATCAAGGGGATTTTTGGGCTTTGGCTTTGGTGCCTCTTCCTCTGGTGCCTCAACCTCTGCTGGCTTTGGGGCCGCCTTGGGAGCCTCTTTCTTGGCCTCCTTTGGTTTAGCAGGAGCAGCCTTCTTCTGAACAGGAGGTACAACCTCTGCCTGCTTGAAATCACCAATGACCTTCTTGAAGTTAGGCTGGTTAACCATGGTCCAGAAGTACCTCTCAACATGAGGGAACTCAGATGTGAAAGTCTTGGTCAAGATCCGAGCAAAACCATGGTAGAGGTTGCATGTAATGACAATATCAGCCAGAGTGACAGAATGCCCAACAAGGAATGTGTTTGATGCCAGGTGTGTGTTCAATGCTTCAAGCGCCCTCTTTAATCCAGCAATGCCGAATTCCTCAGACTGTAATGGTGAATGTTAGAATCTTGCATCTTTCTAACGCTTGAACATAGATAATTCGGATATCTGATGTGTACACTTACCTGGGCATTGTAAGGCATATAACCAAGCCTTGGGTACAGCCACCTTGCGATATTGGGATCAACCTCTGTGGCACCAAAGTCCATCCATTGCTCAACACGCGCCTACAAGAAATATCATCAAATAAGCACTAAAGATTGCTGAGCTATGACTATAGGAGTACTTGTTATATCACTCACATATTCAATAAGAGAACCACCCCAAAGCAGGCTGTCACCCTTTGAGCGGGCAACTGAAGGAAGAAAAGAAAACAGTCGTCAATTTAGGCAGTGTGGAATCAGCAAGACTTGATTAAAAAGATGTAACAATATATACCATAGCGTGCAATAGCATTGCTCTCAAAAACAGCACCATCAGGAGTCTCAAGAACAGGAACCTGCAAAAGTAATTATTAGTTCCTTGCTCGCTGACTCACTGCATATTTATTGAACTAATATGTGAGTCTGATTCGTGTACCTTGCCAAGGGGGTTCATCTTGATGAATTCAGGGGTTTTGTTTGAGACACCCATCTCAAAATTCTTGGTCAGCTCAACCTTGACCCCACAGTACTCTGCAGCAATAAGTGCCTTGAAGGCATTCTTGTTGCCACTGCCCGAATGCAAAACCTATTACAAGGATAGAGCACAAGGCATGTTCAGAACAATGGACAAACATGGGATATAAGGTCACTACAACATGCAAGCAGAAGCACATTAATCGTATGTACACCAGCAAGCTAAGCTAAGTGAAGGAAGAACAGATGCACTAATCTCGGGTAACAATAAAAACGACCCTGAGTCCATTCCAACTGTGTCGCATAAAAGTTACAGCGACTTAAAAGCTTGAGTTCACAAATTTAGGAATAACTGACACATCCTGGAGATCTAACAAACTTGCGCATGATCATACACAAATCTACGACACCATGACCAAATATCAAAACGAGTAAATGGGCCATCGGTCCAGCGTCAGCAACCAAATCAATAATTGGATCAGAACCCTAAAAATCCCACATCCGGGACCCGCGAACTACATCCAGCAGAGACGTTACGCATGCAGAGACCTACCGAGCCGCATCAATCATCAGAACAAGCCAGCCGCAAATCGCGCGCTCTCCAAATCGGAGCGGCTCGACAGAACTCCTACCGCATCAACATCTACTCGCGGGCAACCCCGAACTACGCAACCATGCACAATCAAACAACGAAATCTATGAGGGGAGATGGAGATGAGAGACTCACGAGCGCCATGTCGGCAGGAGCTGCAGGCCTCGCCCGATTCCAAATCTCAGATCTGCACAAACGGGGAACAAAACACAAGACGAAACCGTGAGCTCGACCAGAATTACCACGGGCAGGCGACGATGGAGGAGAGGTCGAGAGGCGGGGAGGAGGAGGCTCGGGATCTTACAGAGAGTGCGTAGCGAGACGAGATCGCGGCGGAAACCTCAGCGGCCGAGCGAGGGTGGGGAGGAGAGGGGTTTAGAAAGGGGACGGGGGCGCGGATTTATGGCGGCGCAGGGGAGTGGGGAGGGGAGGGGGAGCTCCGGGGCTTTCTAGGGTTGTGGGATGGAGGGTCACGATGACGGGATGGGGATGGCTGGACGGACGGGATTATTCGGAGAATGGGGGGCGATGGGCGGGCGGTTGTTTTGGTGTTAGGCCCCTGGGTTTTCGTGGAGGCAGTGTCGGGTCCCTGCAGGGTCGGCCTTGTAATTCGGATTTTCATTTGCACGGTCGGTGCGTGCGCTGCGTGCCACGGAAAAGAAATGGGCTAGCGAACGTTTGCGTGGGGGGTACTCTGGCTTTCCACGTACAGTACGAGGGCATATCCGGTCCTGGGATGCTATGGGTTCTTTTTTCGGTTTTTCTTTTCGGGGAAGTGCTATGGTTCCTTCTGTTGGAAACTTGGTTACGAACGGAGCCCGTTGAGAACCAAGTCACCCTACTTTTTTATTATTATTATTATCAAAAAATCACTCTACTTTTGTTTATCAAAAAAAGGTCACTCTACTTTTGACACTACACTGAACACTTATCCCCATCCCCTAGTTTTATACTGATTGAAACGCTCGAAAAAAGCTATACTAATTGAATGCCGTGCATTGCCACGGAATAAAATAATGCATATATTGTTCGAACAATTATCCTAACATGAAAATACATATCGAACTTAATGACATGTGGCTCAATATCATTACCGGTTCTTTCTTCGGCTTCATTCTTGCTCGGTAGTCGCCAGTGGTGAAGCTTCATGGGGGCTAACCTGGGCGGCGGCCCCCCAACACAAGAAAAAAAATCACCTACTACCTGTTAGTTTTTGTGACATATGTTCAGCAAAAACAGGCTAAACATCATGGTTTTGTCCCTCCTTAGCCCATTGCCTCTCCAAATATTTGGCCCAAGCTCCGCCACTGGTAGTCGCCATATCTGTGTAATCGCCCACTTCCCAAAAAAGGCGGTTCCTTTCTCTCTATTATCCTTCCCCTCCACCGAGTATCGTTGTTGTTACAAAAGTTTGCCATCTCACCAAACTTTAGCAAACCTATAAAATGGTCCTCACGTATCTATAGAGTTACTAAGCTCCCTTGAAATAAGTTGCTTTGGTGAATCGAGGGGTGTGAAGAGTGTGTGGCCCAGATAACATATGGTGGGACGTGTGTGGGTAGCTCACATGGGCAACTAGGTTTCCTTGCATATTTGTTTGTTCAGTCAAGAAAAAAGACTATTATACGCAACCAATGAATGACTCTCAATTGTCATTTTTTAATTTCATGAATATATTTTTTCTAAAATGTGAACATTTTTTAGTAGATATGTGAAATTCTACAAGGAGAGAGACCATCGTAGGAAAGAGAGATACACGAGAGAGGAGGGTCCCCTGGGACTCCGTGATGTTGGATCAAGACGAGAGTGGCGATACAAAGGTTCGTGAAAGGTAGGCACCATGGTAGTGGAAAACCACAAGGAATCGAATCGAAGCACAATCAAACCATAAACAAGGGTCTTGGAAGTATCTTGGGTAAGGTAAAACATGTGAGAAAGGATTTGGATCGCGCTCTAGGAGAAAGGGATCAGCGGATCATTGGATCCACCCGCACCTTGCTTAACCTGGAAGATCCACCTCATAGAGGGTGAGGTGGCGTAGCAAAGTTTGAGGATACTATGGATCATGTAAGTGTGGGATAACACTTATTGCCAAATGCCAACCGAGCGACCTAGGGATCTGCGATCCACACTACAATCATAAATGGCCATAGTGAAAGGGCATTTCCATCCCTAAGTGATTTTGATGTAGATGACAACACAATTTTGTGGCCTAATCACGTGCTTGAGCTATATAGGTGTATTCGTGAAAGGTAGAAGATGCTTAGGTTCCCCTCTAAAAGGAAAAGAGCGAAGACGATGTTCCGATGATTTTTTTCTCTCTCTTGAATCGTAGAGAAACACCATACTATTAAGACGGAGTCCATGTTGGAAGGTATAGGTGAATCAAACCAGTATGCAAAACCATATTTACACCCACGTATCCTTCTAGGCATTCAAGGACTTCTCCATTTCAACTTAGTGCCTCTGATTTTCACTACCTGGTAGTACCGAGCTAGTGAGCAGTACTGCTTTTGCCTACCCACGGGTTGGTAGCACCGCATGATACGTTGTGACGTCCCCGATTCAATCGTACACTACTCATACACGCAAACATGTACGATCAAGATCAGGGACTCACGGGAAGATATCACAACACAACTCTAAACACAAATGAAAGTCATACAAGCTCCATTTTACAAGCCAGGGGCCTCGAGGGCTCGAATACATAGCTCGATACATAGGCGAGTCAGCGGAAGCAACAATATCTGAGTACGAACATGAGTTAAACAAGTTTTGCCTTAAGAAGGCTAGCACAAACATCAACGATCGAAGAGGCAAGGCCTCCTGCCTGGGACCTCCTAACTACTCCTGGTCGTCAGCAGTCTCCACGTAGTAGTATGCACCCTTCGGGGTAGTAGTAGTAGTCGTCGGGGTGGCATCCGGCTCTTGGGATCCACCATCTGGTTGCAACAACCAGAAAGAAGAAAGAAGGGGGAAAGGGGGAGCAAAGCAACCGTGAGTACTCATCCAAAGTACTCGCAAGCATCAGATCTAAACTAACTATGCATTGGTATCAAACGGAAGGGTTGTGTCCATGGACTGAACTGCAGAATGCCAGAATAGGGGGGAGGCCTAGCCTATCGAAGACTGGCATCTTCAAGCAGCTCCAAGCATCTTGCAGCATGTAGAAAAGTAAAGAATAGCCGTTTATAATTAACAAGCATGTTGTAGTATTAATGCCCAGAGATCCTCCCTCGACTCCCTACGAGAAAGCAATCCCGGAGCCACATATCTCAAGTATCCATTTCTAGTTATAATAGATCAGGATATAAGTCTGAACGTCCATTACCGTGGACACGACTATTAATAGATAATCTTCCCTGCAGGGGTGCACCATGTTTTCCAACACGCTTGATTGCTTAGCAAAGAGGTCCCCGTCGGCCTACATCCTAAGCACTACGGGGTCTGGGCCCATCGCCCGTTGCACTCCGGGTCGTTGTGCGACGAGCCAGGACAAGCACCATCGCATATTGGATGGCACTGGCCCGATAGGCCCACAATGCTGAACTAGACGTCTGACAAAGCTTTTGCTGATACTGCAACGTCGAGACCCATAACTATTCTCGCGTGGTGGTTAGTGCGTAAAGGCCAAAGGCCAACTCAGAACAAATACCCAAACATGTTAGTGCATTATTAAAAGAAGTGACGGTTGTCGGTGTTGGGGAACATTGCAGAAAACAAAAAATTTCCTACTCGTTTTCACCAAGATCATCTAGGAGTTCATCTAGCAACGAGTGATTAGATGCATCTACATACCTTTGTAGATCGCGCACGGAAGCGTTCAAAAGAACGGTGATGATGTAGTCGTACTCGACGTGATCCAAATCACCGATGACCAGCGCCGAACGGACGGCACCTCCGCGTTCAACACACGTACGGAACAACCACGTCTCCTCCTTCTTGATCCAGCAAGGGAGGGAGGAGAGGTTGAGGGAGATGGCACCAGCAGCAGCACGACGGCGTGGTGTTGATGGAGCTGCAGTACTCCGGCAGAGCTTCGCTAAGCACTATGGAGGTGGAGGAGGTGTTGGAGAGGGAGAAGGAGGCAACCAAAGGCCAAGGCGTTCAGGTATGAAGTCCCTCCTCTCCCCCACTATATATAGGAGGGCCAAGGGGGGGTGGCCGGCCCTAGGAGATCCAATCTCCTAGGGGGTGCGGCGGCCAAGGGGGGTTTCCCTCCCCCCCAAGGCACCTAGGAGGTGCCTTCCCCTCCTAGGACTCTTCCCCTTTCAAACCCTAGGTGCATGGGCCTATGTGGGGCTGGTGCCCTTGGCCCATTAGGCCAAGGCGCACCCCCTACAGCCCATGTGGCCCCCCGGGACAGGTGGACCCACCCGGTGGACCCCCGGGACCCTTCCGGTGGTCCCGGTACAATACCGATAACCCCGAAACTTGTCCCGATGCCCGAAACAGGACTTCCCATATATAAATCTTTACCTCCGGACAATTCCGGAACTCCTCGTGACGTCCGGGATCTCATCCGGGACTCCGAACAACATTCGGGTTACTGCATATACATATCCCTACAACCCTAGCGTAACTGAACCTTAAGTGTGTAGACCCTACGGGTTCGGGAGACAAGCAGACATGACCGAGACGACTCTCCGGTCAATAACCAACAGCGGGATCTGGATACCCATGTTAGCTCCCACATGCTCCTCGATGATCTCATCGGATGAACCACGATGTCGAGGATTCTATCAACCCCGTACGCTATTCCCTTTGTCTATCGATATGTTACTTGCCCGAGATTCGATCGTCGGTATCCCAATACCTCGTTCAATCTCGTTACCGGCAAGTCACTTTACTCGTACCGTAATGCATGATCCCGTGACCAGACACTTGGTCACTCTGAGCTCATTATGATGATGCATTACCGAGTGGGCCCAGTGATACCTCTCCGTCATACGGAGTGACAAATCCCAGTCTTGATCCATGTCACCCAACAGACACTTTCGGAGATACCCGTAGTCTACCTTTATAGTCACCCAGTTACGTTGTGACGTTTGGCATACCCAAAGCACTCCTACGGTATCCGGGAGTTACACGATCTCATGGTCTAAGGAAAAGATACTTGACATTGGAAAACTCTAGCAAACGAA